TCTGGACCCAGGAGCAGTGTTGGCTTTGGCAATGTGGCCTTATTGAACCATGCCCCCTCATTAACACACAGGGGAAAGGTGATCAAGAATGATTCAGGATCAAGGGACAGGAGGCTAGAGCCTTGCTAGCGCACACTCAGTTAGCTGGCCTCTGACCCCTACTCCCACACAGTCCCTAAACACACAGTCCCATACAGACCACACTGTAAACTTTAAGCAAGCCAAAAGAAAAACCAAACAGAAACAAAAACTCACTCACCCCAAGAATTAGTGTTCGTTCCTTCAGCAGGGGATCTCCCTCTCAGATTCCCTCGTTTGCAGCCCCCTGTTCAGGGAGCTTGTTTTGTTGATACTCTTACCTTCTTTGTATCTGACTCTTTCGTGATCTATGAAGTTGTGTACAATGAGCAGCTGCTTCCAGGGGCAAAAGAAATCCTGGAAAGTCAGTCATTTGTTCTCATCTTTTCTTCCTTTGGATTTTTTTGGAGGGAGTGTGGGGAAGAGCTGCTCTGCTTTGGAGCATAAATACACACAGTTTTAAGCTGCAGTATACATAAGTATTTTTAGATTTGGCTCTATGATATTTAATGTCATAGTTCAGTGTTTGATCCTTTATATCTATTAGTTAGAGCTCAATCACTGGATTGCACACAGGGGTGGCTCTATGTATTTTGCCGCCCCAAGCACGGCAGTCAGGCAGCTTTCGGCGGCATACCTGCGGGAGGTCTGCTGGTAACGCGGATTCGGTGGCATGCCTGCGGGAGGTCCGCCGGTCCCGCATCTTCGGCGTACCCACTGCAGAATTGCCGCCGAAACCGCGGGACCGGTGGACTTCCTGCAGGCATGCCACCGAAGGCAGCCTAACTGCTGCCCTCCGCGGCTTGCCGCCCCAGACACATGCTTGGTGCGTTGGTGCCTGGAGCCGCCCCTGATTGCACATTATTAGGGCCCCTACTGAATTCACAGTCCATTTTGGTCAATTTCACAATCGTAGAAATTTAAAATTAGTCAATTTCATGGTTTCAGATGTTTAGACCTGAAATTTCATGGTGTTGTAATCGTGGGGGTCCTGACCCAAAAAGGGGTTGTGGGGGTTGCAAAGTGGTCACAGGATTACTACTGTTGCTTCTGCGCTTCAGCTGGGCTCTGAAGGCAGCAGCCATGGCGCTTGCTACAAGTGTGGGAGGTACCCAGAGGTGGGTCTGATCTCCCCCCTCCCCCAAGAGCAGCTGTGCAGGGGAAGAGGAAGTACCATCCCTCCCCAATCCTGCCAGGACTAGCAACTGGTGCCTGGTGCATGATAGGAGCCCCTGGTGGGGCACCCTCAGCCCTGCCCCTCTTTTACTCCCCTCCAATAGCTAGATTTCACAGGGGAGAATTGATTTCATGGTCCGTGACATATTTATCACGGCCGTGTATTTGATACAGTCTGAGCTAAATTGATAGTCTAGGCATTGTGATCCCTTAGCTCTGTTTTCAGGTCTTAACTGTCTAATTTAGTAAAGGCAGAACAAGTTTTCATTCATGCTTGTCTGTTTTTTATGTTAATTGCCGTTTTTTAATTGAACAAGTTAGTGATAAAATCATGCAGTACTAAAATAGAGGGTTGTAGGCAGTCATTCTATAAATTATCCAGCAGATGGCAGTGACTACCAAGTAAAAGTATACCTGTAAAAAGAGCTTTCTACCAACTTTACCTGTAATTTTTCCCTGTTTTGGGAGGAAAGGGAGGTGCAGGCGGGGGGGTGTTTTTGTTTTTTTTAAACTCCCAGTTTAGGGGAGAACCATGGCTTTGGGTGTCTGTGTGCGTTACTGAAAAATAGAATGTGCAAAGAACTCTGAGGCATTATTAGGCTGTCAAAAAGGTATAAAGCCGGGTCAGGCCGTTCTTTCAAATCATAATTTCTAGACTGGGGAAACAGTTTTGCATTGTATTTAAATTGCATGATGTCACTCTTCATTATGCATCAGTTCCCAAAAGCATGTTGTTTTTTAAATTTTATTTGCAATCTTCACCCAAAATGCTTGAAACTTTTAAAGGAGATATATATTTTAAATATAACATTATTACATTTAATTAAAAAACAGCTCCAGGATAGCAGCTATTCTTGTGTCTAAAAGAAGTGTTAATTACTATTATCTGATAAAACAACAGTACAGGTTAAAACTTACTGTATGGCAAAATAAATTGTTGCAGTTGTAACTGAAGTGAAGGCAAATTTAGCAGAATTTAAATAGTGCATTTTATGGTCTGTTTAATCCATGAAAACAGTTATTAATGCTATACTAACATGCTTTGAACTTATTTGGAAATGACAAATGGTAAAGAAAATTGTCTCCTTTGAAAGTTGGTGGCAGCATTTTGTAGAAATTGAGAAAAAAATATATATATATTCACCAGTCATTTTCTCCTGCGTGTGTCTTTTTATATATATAAATCCCCGCTACATTAAATGCCAAAGAGTTGCATGAGTCTCCAGCATGAAATGTTAACATTGTCTTTTCCCCTCTCTTTCTACTATTCATTTTCATCCACGTATTTTTTGTTTGCCATCTTTTTTTTTAATATTTCATGTTAAATTAATTTGGAAACATCCTAAGCTGTGCAACCTCTACGAGTAGTAACAGCGGATACCTGTCTGTTTCACTATTTAGTCCCTCCTCCTATGTCTCCATCTTCCAAATCTGTGAGTACTCCAAGTGAGGCTGGAAGCCAAGATTCTGGTGATGGTGCCGTTGGATCTAGGTATGGTAATTTTCTTAAAACATTAGATTGTTTTAACAATTAACAACAATTAAAATGTTGTTAGAAATGTTTGTAGGTTGAGAAGTGCTTTAAAATACTATTGAGTTAGTGTTGATAACTTAAAATTTGTAAATGTCCAAGTAAAATTTTATGTTTAAGTCATTTTAAGATAAACCACATAACATCTCTTGTTCTAAAGCAATTCATGTGTTTTACTCTAATGATGATTATGTAAAACCATTTTATTCTCTGATTTGGATAATTCTCTTGGAATGTATTTTATTTAAATACTGAAGCTGCAAGTAAAATGTAAAATGAAACTTTGAATTCTTTTTTAACTTTAAGGAGAATCAGATATGTTTGTTTCTAATGGACCCATAGTTTAAAGTGGGTGGGAAGAAAGAGGATGTTATATGAAAGGGGTCTTTTCACTGCCATATCATGTGCACTCTCCTCCGATAGTAGGTAAATTCTCATAATAATTTGCTCAGAAAATCTATTAATTGCCATAGCAATTAAGGTATTATGCCACTATCAAATATGTTTTTTAACTTATCACTATGTTTATATTATGGAATAACTTGTTAAAGAAATCTAGAGGATAATTGTTTTAGGTGTGCTTGCACATGAGTTTTGCTCCTTTTGGAAGAAGTTTAAATAAGATTTAAGTTGTTTGCTATAATATTTATCAAGACGCACATATTCATGTCTTTTCCACATACTTGTGTTTTGGCTGATATGTCATTCTCATATTTTGCATACCCGAGGCTTTGAAGAATGAGTGCTTGCACCCCATTTATGTATGGTTTAAATGTTACTATTCCCACCATCCTAACTGTAAAAAAGTGATTATTTTCATAACCAGTTAGTGGCATTAACAAAGTTTAGGTTGTTGCTAAAAAGCGAGCAATAAGCAAAAACAGGAGAATGTAACACGCCACTAACATGGAGACACATTGCTTTCCTGACTGCTCGTGGACACTATACCTCTTGAATGCAACTTTGTGTTAATATTTCATTCAATCTGTGTGGATTGAGCCCACTTTTGATGTAATAAAATATCCAGTAATATTGCTCTTTCATTTAGTAACAACCAGATTTTAAGTAGTACAGTCCACATGTGACATGAGATCTGTGAATCACTTCTATCATAATCCATTGGGTGGGAGGGTTATTCTCTGCTAACATTATTTTAATCTAAAATATTTGAAGATTGAATTTCATTCATACGTAATAGTGAAGTGTGTATGAAACATGTTTGACATGAAACAAACTTCACCTGTACATTTTATGGTGAATTCATCTCCAACTAATGAAAATATTATTGTCCTCACCATTGTGTATTATGCATGTCACACAAATGTAGAGTAGGCACAGGTTCTTGACAACTGTTGAGAGAAAATAATACCTTGCACTTCTATAATTTCATCCATGTATCTCAAAGTGCCCTACACATTAGGATTAACAGCAATTTTCAGGATTTGGAAGTACAGTACAGCAGTTTTCCCATCTTGCAGATGAGGGAACTGAGGCATAGGTAAACAAACTAATTTGCTGAAGATCAAATAGTGAGTCAGTGGTAGAAAAAGAATAGAATTTAGAGCATTACATTGGGAGTCAGGAGATCCAACCACCAGATAATACTTAGAAATAATTTAAAGTACTAAAATGTCTGCCTCTATGTATAGTATATTAGTACATATGAACTCTTGGTGAGACATACTGGTATTCAAAAAAATCTTGAATTTGCTAAATCATTCTGCAGGAATAGTTTAGTATGATCACTGCTAGAAACAGTTCTAAGGAGTTAACCAAATTTCAGAGGCCCATCAACGTGCCCATATCAGTACACATCCGCATTTGAAAGCTAGTTCTAAAAGTTTGATACTGAACTGAAAATGTAAAACTGATCCTTTTTTATTTTTTCTCCATGTTTTTAACCCTATAATCCCAACATTCCACTTCAGTTGCATGTTGAACAGCTGTGAGATCACATGATTACAGTGCACCTCGCATGCAGCAGCTCTGTTTACAAAGATTGTCTTCCTGGTTAGCTTAGCATCTCCTCTGCATTTTTACCTCTCCCTTATGCTGGCTGGCACACAGCTGCAGTTCTTAACTACCCGATAAGCAGTAAACCACTGTTCAGGCCCTACGTCCACTGCTGTTATCAATTTACCTGGCTGCGTCTCCAGTCCTTTTCATCAGTAAACCATTTTTCATATCTGCTTCTTCTCATCCTAAAGTTGCTGTGTTTATTGCAGCTCTTCTGCCTCTCTTTCCAATTCCCTATGTTTCTCAGGAACATTCAGAATAAAAATTCAGGGCTATAGAGAACAATTGAAATATCACATATTGAAACCCAATATCACTTACTATTCTAACAGAGAATGTTAGAGTATATTGAGGTATATATTAATAATGTACACTTATGCCAGAAGGATGTTGTGAGGCTTTAGTTAATATTTATGAAGTATTAGGCAACTGACTAAAGTTTAATCATTAAAGCAGACGGATAATGCATACTTTAAGGCATGTTACATACTTAGCAGCAGTATATTATGTCACAGTCACCCCAAATAAAGGGCTGAACTCCAATCTCAGAATGCCATTTTTGTTTCAGAAGAGCATCTCTGGTTAAAAAATAATAATAATAATGCTCCTCCTCCTCCTCCAACAAAAGTGTAGGGATTGAGACATTACAAATGAAAAATCTTAAAGGACATAATATTCCTTATAACAATGAAGAAACATGAGTGTCAGGGAGTGAGTTTGAATGAATGAGCAGCATCTAAGAATCTAGGTTTTATACCAAAGCAATATGATTCAGTTTTCTGAAGACAACTTTAGAGTTGAAAAGAGTGAAAGAGTTTGAACATATTAATTTGCTTCAGCAATCAGTACATCATTGCAAAACTCTGATGGCATGTTTTATGTAGGAGAGGGAAGGAGAAAGTTACTAAGAAAAAACTTAACAGTACGCTCAAAACAATTTATTTCGGACACATAGACAATACCGCCCATTTGCAAGTAATACATAGACAATTTTCCAATGACTTGGAAAACTATTGTGTCCCTACTTTCGGACAGTAAAACCAAAGCTTTGCATTTCTAATTAAACCATTACTGAAAGTTGGTGCCCTTTAAACCAAAACTTGCTACTAGAACTACCTAGTACATCATTAAAGATACTGAAAATTTAATTTAATATTTTCACCACTCTGTATTAAACTATTGGGAGCAACTTTACATCTTTCTAGGAACTCTCCAGTTACACTGAAAAATAACTTCAGTCTTCCTAAAATAATCATACGGGAAAACCTTTTATTGATCTGGCATACAAACATATTACATGTTCTTTATTTTTCAGCTTCTGTTACAAAATAATAGTAAAATTCTCTACAAAGTATGGTAGCATATGCAAGCTTACTAAAAGCAGATGTTCTGCTGCTAATATTTCACGTATGTTTGTTTGAAATTGCTGCTTTGTGCCCTGGTAGAGTTAGAAGTAGACACCAACACTAGATGAAGTAGATTTCCCTCCCCGCACCAGGCAAGACTAAAATATAACGAAGGTCCTATTTTATATAAGTGACCTGTAACAGATCTATTCCACTTCTTATTCTTATATACTGTGCTGAATACTCACTATTTTGAAACATTTTAATATAAAGCCCACTGTTTTCTAGGATACTGAATATTTTAAATTGGCTTTAAATCGGATGACATTTGTAAGCCCAAGGCAGTGCTTAACCCATAATTACAGCAGTGTCACATCTTGGAAACTCTAGCAGTTCTGTATCCCAGTGGAAATGCATTTTGCTTCTCTACCAAAAAGTTTGTGTTGACTCATTTCCTTTACCAATATGACAATTTCCTGCACATATTTAATGCTTTAGGCAAGATTGCAGTACATTAACAAACCTGACTTCGTATGACACAACCAAATTAGTATAGCTTTAAAATGAAATTTAAAGTTTAAAACTTCCTAAGCTGTTTCAAATGGATTTTTATTCATTTTGCTTTCATATAGGCTACTTTTGTCAGTGATTCTGCAATGCTTTAATTTCCCATATCTGAAATAATTGAATGACTAATTGCTCTGAATTGTATGTTTCTGTTTAACTGTTTTATACTTATTGCATGTATTGTAGCATTGAATGTTCACTGAATTTCCACTAACTGACATGACATTTTGTTTCTTTTAAACAATGAAAAAACTGTAAACTTACAATAGCTTTAACATTTCATAGTGTGTATTTGCTTCACTAATCTCTGGCCTCTTTTGCTAATGCTGCATGGTTGTTCAACCTACGGTATCAGGACGCTGCATTGGGATACTGATCCATCAGTTCTTCAGCTCCACTCTGATTCCGATCTGGGGTATTTCATAGATTTTATATTCCCTCTTTTGTGTATTTATAAATATACAATTTATATATATATATCCAATATGAGAGCTTTTTTAAAAATGAATTTTAAATTACTATTAAGGAACACAAGTTCTGAAAGTAATCAAAGTTCATGCTGTCCCTGGGTTTAGTGCAACTGGCCTATAGTAGGCAACTTCAGTCTTACTGTAATTGCAGGTTTATCATTTTTCCAGCAATATGTTTCACTCTTAACATAATTTTTTATCTACATCTTTTTTTCTTGGCAAGACAAACTATAAAATGTCATTCTATTGAGATAAAATAACTACACATTTAAATATATACAAAATGTGTCTAATATAAGAAAAGATGGGAACTCATTGTTTTGTGGCTAATGTATCATGAAGTCTTTTATAACTTGTAAGCTTTTTCATTAAGCCCCACATCATGTTATAGAATTGTATTTGCCTTCCAAAAATTAAAAAAAGAAAGAATCTGTTAGAATTTTTCCTTGAGCCTATTTAGTCTTAATGGATTTTTTTAAGTGTGGGAGAAGATGATGGAAAGATTAATTTTCACGTACTGCTTTTTATTGCTGGATTATTGGAATAGTGATTAATATACATATCGAAGTTAATAGGAGTTTTTATATAAAAGTTCTCCTGAGATGGGTCTAACTTGCGCTTATATATATATATATATATATATATATATATATATATATATATATATATATATATATATATAT